CTTTTTTGATTCTCTCTTTTTCTAAATAAAAGGAACTTTTCGCAAACTTTTCCTATTTCTCAGAAAATATACCAAATCGTATTTAGGAAAATCTGAGGTGCAGACATGACACTCAAGTAAAAACACATTTTATTAACAGCTTTTAGGGTGACTTTAAAACTGTACCAATTTGGCTACTGGTGTGCTAGCACAGGGAAACTATTCTCCCTTCCTTAAAACTTCTGTCATTTGTTTATAAATGTAAAAAAAAAAAAAGGCCCACTCCTCTAAAAACATATTTAAACCTCCCTATTCCTTGTGTGTTACAATCACATTTTCTCACCTGAATAAGACCAGAGTGGTCATATTTCAAAGCCTGTCAATACCACTTGGTCATAAGTGGTGTTGACAATAAGGAACTCTCTTCTGCCCCAAATGACTGTGTACAACTTCCTACCCCATGCCAACCATACAGTCTCCTCCATGGGTAATTCAGAGTATTTTTCCTAAACCTGCCATCTGACCCAGAAAACAGAATTTTTGAAAATCTGGGTGGACCTGGTCTCCCAAAGTATAAAACAAAAATACAAGACTGCTTGGAATTATTTTATCTTAAATTTGCTACCGTTCTGAAAATGAAATAAGCAGAAAGATCCATTTACAAATTCAACCAAAAAGATAAAAATGGCCTTTGCTCTATGATGACTCTGTCCTCAAAACAGAATGTAATTGTTGATCATCAGTGTTCATTTATACAGAAATAACTGGAGAAGTTTTGAAATAATCATCATATAATATATGCAAGACTTCATTTTTGTTAAACCATGAGTTTTATCTTCATGCAAAGGAGGGGGAATCCAATTGTCACAACTAAAAAACTATTTAAAAACAACCCCCCCCCCCTTTAAAAACAAAAACTGTAGGAAAACAGCACCTACAAAATATAATCTAAATAAAAGTGTTTAAATACTTAAGTTGCTTTATTTGTAATACCAATCTTTCCAACCAAATGATGTGACTGGTGTGTATGAAAGTGAAGAGACCTCTACACAAAAAAGAAAACACAGAAGACAACCTTACTTTGAGTGACTAATTAAACACAAGGCAGAACCAGTAATATATACAGAAATATTCATATATAAAACTCATGTTTAGAGACCACTTTTAGCTCTACCTACTAACTACCCCGACAGACCATCTCCCAAATGGATAATTCCCCTCTCTACCATCAGAATACCATCTACACCAGTGGTTCTCAACCATAGTGCCACAGCACCCTGGGGTGCCTTGAGATCCTGTCGAGGGTGCCATGGGGCACTGCTAGCAATGTTAGGTTTACAAATATGATTCACAGGATAAACCCAGGTTTCAAATAGCAATTCATAGCGTTAGAAACATTCTGACGTATCATGGATTTTCTGAGTTCCCTGCAACAGAAAAATTGCTCTATTATTTGTCTGTAACCAAAAAATGAGTGAAAACTAAGAGCTAGCATTGTCTGAGGGGTTTCTCAAGTCTAAAAACGCTGAGTACTATACAGGCAGTCCTCGACTTGCCTGTATAGTACTCAGTTTCGAGTTACAGCGTTTCACACTTACAACATTTATAAATTGACACCGTTTCAACTTTCTGATGTCAGTTTCGACTTTACAAAACTTTATCCGATGCCACACCATGCCACTGAACAAGTTCGCTGCATCACCCATCTCTCTGGAGAACATTTGTCCAAACTTTCTTGGACACTTTCTTTAAGAAAGCAAACAAGATTTCAAAAAAAACTGCAGCTAAGACTCCTAAGAAGACTCTGGCCAAGAACCCTTCAAAAAGTCCAGCAACGTCACCTCAAAGAAGTCCTTCCAAATCACTATGATTGCTATTTAGAATATAAATACATTAATGTAACTATATTACTCATCTATAATTGACTGAGCATAAAATTCTGGGTTATTTTTGGTGAAGATAGGGTATCGGGCCTTGATTCAGGAACGAATCCCCCATTTATAACATTGTTTCCTATGGGAAAAAATTGGTTCCAAGTTACAGTTTTTCAACTTAAGACATGGTTTTCAGGAACCAATTGTGTTTTAAGTCCAAGGTCTGCCTGTACTAAGGCTAGAGGAGGTTGACAGAGGCCTCAACTTCCTCCCAAGGTAATTTTACCTGTAAAAGAACAATCCCCATCAGGGTTAGAGCCACCCTTACAAAACAGAACCTGTCGTTAAGTGTGCCAACTATAAAGATGAGAGAGGTAAGGAACCTTTTAAATCCCTCCTTAGGGAAAATACTAAAGTACTGAAGATATTTAAATAAACAAGCTAAAAAAACCAAACTTAATTTAGCATTCAGACAAACTAAAAAAACCCATTAAGGTTACAATCCAAATCTGCCTTTGGTTGTTACATCTCCAATAACCAGAATTGAGCTTCAAGCCTCTGGGCCAAATTGACTGCGTTGGGTCACTCCAGATTTATGCTAGTTTAATTCCACTGGCATAGAAGGGTAATGCAGTTGTGAAAGCCAACATTTCCTCTTTATAACAACCCCCTTTTACTAAGGCAATACTCAGAATAAGAATCCATTTTTAGACAACATAATATAAATGTCAACTCTTCCAATGATGGGCTAGACTCCATATTATAATAAAGAGTTGCTTAAGTTAATCACAACTTGGATGCAAGTGGAAAGAAACAAGGTTATTTGGGTGATTGTGATATCTTTTGTTAGACCAACTGAACAGCCGGAAAAATTGTTCTTTGCAAGCTTTTGGGCACAGGCATCCTTCTTCAGGCAGAGAAAGAATCTGCTGGTCTTTTCCAACTATTCAGTTGGTGTAATAAAAGACATCATATTTACCCAAATAACCTTGCCTGCCTATATTCTTAGACCAACACAGCTACAACGAACACCCAAGAAACAAGTGTAACACACACAAAATTGGCAAACGGGTGGTGTACAAAATAAAAAAAGAAAGAAAGAAAAAGTCTTCTTGAGAAGTAAAACATGGAGGGGGCAGGAAAGGGAACTAGCATAAAACAACAATCAACGGAGGCAGTCCCGGGGCAGGACACACACAGATTATACTTGCTAATGACTTATGTTGATGATACTACAGTAATGAGGGCTATGTAAACTTCCAAAAACTGATTTAGGCTGTTTATTATAAAGCAAAGCTTTTTAAAAAGGTCCAAAGTGCCACGAAGAATAGAATGCTGAACTTCTGAGAACCTCCAGCCTGTCAGTCTTCCCTACAACACAGGATGGATGGTATTACAGAACTCTGTCAACAAAAAAAAGTCAGTGCTGCCAAGAGTATTTAAGATGTTCTCTTTTTTCTCAGGACTAAGGATATTTATATCCAAAGCTAAATTGCCTCTGAACTCACATTAATGTTATTCTTACCTAATTTTAGTTTGTCTTTTCATAAAAGCTTTCATATCAAAATGTACAGTTTTTTGCCAGCTGCATTTGCTTTCCATGTGTAAACATAAGTGTTTCATTTTACCACTCTTTTCCACTAGCCATTTCTTTAGCAGGAAAAAATGCTACAAAGCACTGTCACCTGCTTGGGGATCACCATGTTAAAATGATCTGTTTAAGATTATTTTAGGGGAAAAAAAGAGCCCTGGCAAAATGTTGCAAAGATAAGCAGCCAAAATACAGAAAAATTAAACATAATCACACAAACCAGTCTGAATGTGTGAATATTTAAAAAACAAGAGAGACCAGATTGGAAAATAGGACAGTGTTTTATAAACCCAGCTGAGAATGTGAGAAACATTTGTGAAGTGGCCATTCTTTTAGTTGTGCGGGCCGGGAGCGACCCGAGCCCTTTTCCGCGCTGCACGCGGGCTGTGGCCAGCAGCCCGGGCACGCCGGGTTGGAGAGGGAAGGCCTTCGAGCTGGAATTAGGCACAGACGCATATCGGTAGTTTTAAAGATTGTTTACTTACACCGAGATGGCAGTGGTGCAGGCTGGAAAACTTGATTGAGTTGCAGTTACAGACAGACAACACAGACAGTCTCGTGGAGGTTGCTAGGCTCCACGGTGCAGAGCTCCGGATGCTCCGGGTGAACGAGCCACCAAAACAGAAATCGTAAATACGTCTTATAAAAGTCGCGTTCGAAGACGGGAAGAGGTAGGCGGTGGATCAGGCCGCCAAGCTCCTCTGGATCTCACACAGGGTTTCTATTACCCTGCCGTGTACCCAGAGTCCCCACGAGATGGATGTGGAGTCCTCTTCGGCTTGGGCAGAAACTGCTCAAGCCTCTTATACGGCTAACAGGCCAATCATTAGCCGCCACGTGTGAATAATTTAACACTAGCCAATCCTGGGGAACGAATTTGCATACCAGTGGCAGGAACTCTTTTGTACCGTGCATTCCTCTCGCAACATGAGCAATGCACCCTGCAAAAGAAGTTGTAGAAAAGGCGGGAAACTCATCCCTGCACCGGGGTTTTCCTTTTACTACAGGAAACTCTCCCGTGCAACGCTCTGCAACTTGGTGGGGATAATTCTGGTGCCGAAGCACACACACAATCATGCCTTTTGGGTCATGACATTAGTATGTGGGTGTCAGCAATCTTACCAAGATTCAACTTTGAATCAAACGGTAACTCAGTTTCTGTAGAAATTCAGATAATGTATGTTCTGACTCATGTTAATATTATTGTTTCAATTAAAGCCTCTCTTGAAATGTCTCATAAATACTACTAGATGCGCCATGCACATTACAAGTGCAAAAAAGCAGGAGTGCCATTCCCATGTAGATAAACTGTCCAGTATGGGTAACTGCAAGTAGATATAAAAATTAACTGCAACACTTTATTAGCATTTAAACAATAATCAAGATTAATGAAAAGCTGCTCATACTAATTCCTAAAGTTTTAAAACAGAAATTTTAAAACAGCAGTAGTTTAGGTGAAATAAGAGGAATTCTGCACCAAGCATTAATGAAAAACGTTTGATGTCTTATTGCTTACCAACCACCTGATGGCAGCACACACCAGGTTTTATTCTTACCTGCATAAACTGTTCACTTCCTGTTCTAAGTTCTTCAAGCTGCTGCAGTTGCCCGGCTACTAAACTGTATGACTCCTCTGCAGTCCTACAGTCCAAAGGATTTGCATGCAACTGCTCTCTAAGCCACATCTGAGTCCTCACTGAGGGCTGAATGGGAACGCCACTCACAGACTGCAAAGTTGCATATTTTTGTCCAAAAGCCTCACAACTGGCTGTGGTGGGTTTGCTTTCAGGTAAGGCACTATAGGTCATATCTAAGGCATGTCTCCGATGAGAGGAGTCTGAAACAAAGTCATCTTTGCTGCAACTTTCAAATTTGTATTTGCAGTCCAATGAAGACAATTGTTTTTTCCCTGTTTCTTTATCCTCAATTTTTAGCAACTCCATACTAGTATGCAAACAACTTGGCCCATTTGTCCTTAATTGTGGTGACATGGTCTTGTCTCTCCCTGATCTGTCTGTACTAGCCCTGGAGTCCTCTGAATGGATACTTTCATCCTGACTGCAGGTATCTGGTGTGCTGAGTTTAGACAAGGATGACCATTTCCTTACAGGCTTTGCATCCTTCATGTCCAGAGAGTTGTCCAGTGTGCCCTGATTTCTGCTTCCTCCTGACCGTAATAGGCTTGTACTCCATTTTGAACCATCACACTTGAAAGGTTCCCTGTGTTTGGAAAGTGAAGAGCTGGCATTAGACGGCATCACATGGGCAGTGGGAATAGAGACCAATGATCGGCTGGGTTTAAACGAGGAAGTACCACTTGAAGTTGAATGATCTGGAAAGAAAGATGCATCAAGTAAATAAAGTGCAACACAAAAGTCCTGCCAGCATTACTGACCAAAGGGCTAAATGTCAACAGCAAAGATGAAAAGCTAAAACAGGAAGGCGCCCTTCTAGAATTTCTTAACATGACACTGGCTAATAATCTAGGATATCTTGGAAAAACAGGTATCTATAAACTCTACCATTTAATAATTGTTTCCCGTCAGTGCTCTTAGCCAGACAACTGCATTTTCACTTTCCAAACTGTGCAATCATTTTTAATACAGTACTTTCAGCACCCCCCCCCACCATTTTTTTCCATTACTAAAGTTGAATATCTTAATCTAAAACAATATTCTCACAGATTAAAACAAGGTTTTCAGAAAGCTTTTCTGTTCCAGGTCAATTTTGCCATACCTACACAGGTAGAAACTACCTATTTGGCCCTCTATTAAATTACCAGTGTATTTGTTTAGTGTTAAGACTATAAATATAGGAAATATATTCTAATAATGTAACTTCATAGTAAAGGCTGGGTTGAGATTTTTTTAAAGGAGCTTTAAAATTCTTCTGTTTCACATATTAATTGTATTTAGTCTCCAAACCTGACATAATTATTCTTCAAAGACAACTCAGTTTCTATGCACTCTATGTTTATTAATGTTTACTATTTGCAGAGGAAACAATGAACAAGCATTCCCTTTCTAAAACTCGCTTTCTTTTGGTTTCTCTAGCTAAACAGTCACCATAAATTCTAAATTTTTTCTCTCTGTTTTTCATATACAGATAGTGGATCAGGCATAAGCTACTTCTGAACTTTTAAAACTAAAAACATACTGTTCTCTATATTCAGGTTAATATAATTTTCTAATGCTAAGAGTCTACAAAAAGATTATCGAGTTCTACCTGTTACTACTGTTCTCACACTTGTCAATGTTTTCCCCCTGATTCACCAAACAGCCTGTGTAGCCAAGATAAGCAAGTCAGCAAGAGAGATGCCCATGTGAGTGAGTGTGCACATGTGCTATGAGGAGAGATTGCAGCTCTGAGGAGGTAATGGTACAGCATACAGTGGAATGATATACACACCAATGCACATGTGCTTATACCACTGAACGTTACATAATTCATCATTCAATTCTGTATTTTCTAAAAAAAATGAATTACAAGTTTTAAAAAAAATTAGTACAGAACATAAGTTCTCATAAGATTTCCTAAAGGTTACAGACAAAATTTCACATAGCTTGAATCACAATCCCCTGTATTTATACATGCCACTGCAAAACCACATGGTGTGGAAGCTACACCAAAGCTATGATTGATCAAGACCTATAGCCAGAGTTTGAGGACATCCATTGGCTGTTCAGGATGAGGAAGAAGACGTCCAGTAAACAGGCGATACAAACGAAGTACCAGAGGCTAAAAAGGGAAACTTATCAATAAAGCATGGATAAGAAATACTTCGCTTCTTTGCTTTCTACTATTTGAGTCAGTTGGCTTAAGTTAAGTGGGCTAAACTGTAAAGTGGAACTTCCTGTGGGGAAACAACATACAAGAAGAAAAACCTATAAAATGAAAAGATCCTACTGATTTATTGTACTTTTCCCTGCATCTCCAGCCCCAAGCTGAAATATTAAATGAGTGCAAAATATAACGTATGAGCCACAGAGAGACTGCTGGGGAAAGTTAACAGAGGTGAGACAGAGGTTACTGTGGTTTGATTGACAGCTCTCCTGTGCCAGCAACTGGTGCTTAGCATCACTGCCTATAGACAACCAGAAATAAGCAGCTAATCCTCTCATTAGAGCATCACCTTCCACTAAGTCACATGGCTCAACCTTGCCCATGCTGTTCTCGTTCCCCAACTGTAGGCTTGGTAAAGTGTTGTTATTCTAACCAGCTACTAATTCAAGTACAATATTTCCAATATTACATCATTTCAAAAAAATATTTAATCCCGAAGTAAAAAAAAAAACCAGGTAGCATTTACTATTTTTTTGGTCAAGCACCTTAGTTTTCCTGCAACCTTTAACCTGGTATGACCCAGCAAGACCATTGAAAGCAGTGAACTGTTCAATACCTAGATAACTGCACCTGCCACAAGTTACTTTAAAGACTAAGACAGGCTAAAAAGATATGCACAGGTAAATGCCAGAATACCAGTCTGGGTCAGACAGAGCCTCACAACCCAGTACTGTAAAGACAGAAACAGTACAGCTGTTTGATTTGAAACATGATTTCAAAGACAGCTATAGCAGGGACAGAAGAAAGGCAGCTATACGAGTGATTCTCAGCTGGGATTTAGTGGCGCCCAGCCCTTGTGTAAGGAAGTAAACACACCTTTTGCTCTTCCCCACATCTGCCCCAAATCTCAAAGCCAAGCACCACTCATGGCTGCTCCCCTTTCCTCCTCCCACCCCAACAGGGTCTGTACTGGCCACTCTGAGACGCACACTACCACAGATGGGCAGATACAGGGATACAGAGCAGTGCTTTTCAGCCCAGCTTATCCACGGCCCTTCTCACGTTTCCAGGGCTGGCAGGAGGGGTCGTGGGGGAAGGTGGCTCCAATCCCTGACATGCGAGTCCCTGGGCTACAGTTCAAGGGGTATCACCCTGGCATAACTAAGGTCAAAAATTGGCCTGCCTGTTCCCAGTCTCCTGCAGTAACTGGGTCCATGAGCCAGGTTCTGTGCTGGGAGCAAATGTGCACAGGGCCAAACAGAGCCAGGGAAGGTGCCTGAAGGGGTGCATGTTATTTTTTATATTATGTTACAATATAGTAATAATCATTAAGTTTACATTACAATAACCATTATATTAGTTTTTGAAATGGGGTACCGCTAAATTCTGAAAACTTTGAGGGGTGCCTTGAGTCTAAAAAGATTGAGAACCACTGGTTCACCAACCTCCTCATGTGGCTTCCTCATAAAAAAAAATAGGAAATGCTGCTACAGAAGAGAAGAGAAGAGAAATCTTCTGTGCACACACTTCAAACATTAGTCCACGAGTTAGACGTGCCTGACATGCTTTTACTTCAGTGCACTCAGCTCAAACTATTCACCTCTTGTATGCTTTTCCTGTTTTCTTTGCTTTTGTATTGTAATTTTAGTCCCAGATCTGACCCATTCATCTCTGCTTGTAATTTATTTAAATGTTTTTCTTTTAGTTAGAAAGCACGTGTGTGGCAGCAGGAGCTTCTTCTTTTGGCTATGAACTTTTGGACCTGCCATGTGTGCAGCCACAGCTGATGGATGCATCTGATAATGTATTCAAAAGTGAAACTGTTATCAACTTTGGCATTTAACTGGTTGTAATTAGTTTCCCAATGAATGCTTATTGAGATAAATAAGCAAATTTATACTGTCCTTTTTTTTGTTACTTGTCTGACTGAAGTGCCAATTCAGCAGCACTGGGTATGTCTATACACGTCCCTACAGCGTCTTTGTTACTGCGTTGTCATTTAATAAATCCTTTTGGTAGCACAGCCTGTATTCTGCCATGCATGCCATGCAGTTATTTTTAGTTGCTATGTCACCATAGCAATGCACTATATCAGGGGCATGCATTGCTATGGAAACATAGCATCATGTGTAGATGCACCCACCATGAAAAAGTTTAGATTCTAAGAAGGGAGTTCCCCAGCCTGTAGGTATGCTGCTGGTTCTTCCTCCCCAGGTGCAGCACCTTGCACTTGTCAGTGTTGAAACCCATCCTGTTCTCATCTGCCCACCCCTGTAACCTGTCTAGGTCCGATTGCAGCCTATTCCTTCCTTCTAGCATGCCCACATCCCCCCCTCCCCCATCTTAGTGTCATCAGCAAATTTGAACAGGGTGCTTTTTACCCCCTCATCCAAGTCGCATGGGTTCCTGGAAAACAGCACATAAACTGAATTGGCATAAAGGGAACCCACTTTACAATGTAACAAATAGAGATACATTTCATCCCCTGGGGAGGGGAGGAAAGATCCAGGCCCCAGCAGTGAGGGAGGGAGTGGAGTGAGTGGGGCCCTGGCTGGCCTGGGTAGTACATGCCCCCTGATCTGTGTGCGGGCCAGAGGCAGCTGCCGCTGGACGCTGAGCTTTGAGCTCCGCTACCCCAAGAGCCGCGCGATGCCATATGTATCCCGCCGCTGGGCAGGCAGGGGGCACAGTGCAGCTGCAGCAGGGAGCAAAGCACTCAGGCTTCCACCACACCAATCACATATGAGTGAATTTACCCTGCATATAACGAATTTTTGGTATAAAAAGGGTCATCGCATAAGAACAAATTTGCACACACAAAACCCGCAGAAAGCAAGGGAAACCTGTACTACTTCCTCCAGCAACATGCTTAATTTCAGAATTCAAAGATTCAGAATCAAAACAAGAGGGAAGGGGAGATGGCAGATGCAGGCATATTTCATATGCCTTACTAATTACTCTATTACAAGTCTGAACTATTTATCTTTGAACTCCACAGTCTAAATCCTGGTCCCAATAGCAATAAAACTTGGCTAAGAAAAGACACTGTTTTGGCAGCTATAAAATGTATATGGCAGGCATTTTCAACATTTTTGGATCAGTGCACCTCTAGTGGCCCGACGTGGAGTGGGTAGGGAGGGGGGAAGGCGGTTGCATGTGGCTGAGTGGGGGGGGGCGCCAGCCGCTGCGTGTGAGCTTCCTCCGCCCCCCACGTCCAGCTGGGCATGCAGAGCCTGCACAGCAGCGTGGGATGGTGTATGGCAGTACTCTGTCCCCGCCCGCCAGCACATATCCCCTTGGGCCTTCTTAAGTACCCCCAGGGGTATGCATACTCCAGTTGACAACCCCTGGTATATGGTATGATGCTTAGCGGTTAACAGTGATGGATATTACCAAGAACCCTAAAGTATTAGGGAACTGTGTACTTAAAACAGATTAATGTATTTAAACTGGATTTTTAATTTCTCTTGAATTTATACTTGCATTGAAAATTTGTTTCAATTTTCAGGTAAAAAGCCCTCCTCTATGAGTAAAGGTGTCCTGCTATTT